TATTAACTTGGATATCCAATGGTTGAGGCTTGTTATCCTCCTTAGGCAGATCAACCGTTGGAGAGAACTTTACGACGAAAGGCTTACTCTTCATCTTATTCCGATTCATGGGAAGCACATTAATTATTCCTTTCTTTTTTTATCTTATTATTATTAAAGTGAGAATGAATGCAATTTATGAATGCAATAGACGGTTGAAGAGATGATGAAAACAAACAATTTTATTTATTTCATCCAGACAGTGTACATTCCTCAATGCAAGGTTTCAAAGTACATTTTTTTTAAAAGTGATAAGCCTAAAGGAAATCATAAGCTGGTTAAAATTTCTATGCATTTTTTTTTACTTCCCATGCAAATGCTCTATCCTCTTTACACGGTATTGAGGAATGTCCACTTTCTTCAACTACCTACTACTAGATGCATGTTATGAGGATGAAGTTTGGTGGATGCATGTACGCAAGTGTTTGTTTTTTCCTTAACATTATCATGTTTTATTTTCTAACATGATGTATGATAGTGTTTGGGATTTTGTGTTTTTTTGTATGCGGATGAGGGCATGAAGAATACCAGCCGCTTTCTAGAATACAAAAAGAATCTTATTGTTTAAATGAATGATTTATGAGATGGATATTCCTTAAGACAATGGCTTAGGTATCCTCTTTAAAGCTTACGCTTTGTGGGGTATCATACCCACCTTGGTGTAATGGTTCATTCCCCATCACAGACTTGACAAGTATAATAGGGGTCAGCATCACACCTTAGTACACTTGTCTCTTCCTTGTCGTGAAGGTCACAAATATGATCGGTGCCTCTTTCGCCATTGTCTTAGAGATATCTAGTGCTCCCTAGAATGAATGTATTTATACATGCACCAGTACAAAAGGGCGGTAGATGTTCAAAGTGGCATAACTTTAGACTGAGATGTCCGATTTGGACACACAGCATATCAAAACGAAGAGAAAAAGGTGAAGAATCCTACTACAAATACCCAAAGGGAATTTGACCCAGTAATTTTCCCAAAAAATGCTCCTAAGACCCATTTTTTGGGGATTTATTAAAATGATGTGCATGCATACTTCCCTTATGAATTTATTTTCTTTCTTGGTTTTTCCACTTATGACATGATGTGATATGAATGATACGAATTTGTCAAAATTATTTTATTTATTTTGGATTTATTTGATTTTGTTATTATTATTATTATTATTTATTTATTTTATTTTATTTTATTTTATTTTATTTAGAGTCTTTTATCTCTTCTGTCGGACTGCGTGGCTATTTAGCTTACAAAGAACATGAAACCAGGCTAGCTAAAAGGTAGACTGTCCGAGATAAAATGGCTTATTGCGAAAGAAAAATATTAGCGTCCCTTATCTCTTCTGTCAGACTGCGTGGCTACTTAGCTTACAAAGAACCTGGAACCAGGCTAGCTAAAAGACAGACTATTCGAGATCAGGGTGTTTATTGGAGAAGATGTATATTTTTATTTTTATCTATTGTTTGGTTATGCTATGCAATCAAATGCAACAAATAAGTGCGCATACAATTCACTCATCTGCAAACACGTGAGAAGTCGTTTTAATCACGATGTAGGGTTTTTCTACAGAAAAGTGCGTTGGCAAGAGTAGGTTCTAACTGTTCTCACCAAGGCTTAGGCCCCTAAGGTGCCCCCATTATGAGTCCCCACTCTCTAGCCTTCCGACCATGCTTAGCACTAAGGCCATAGTCAGTCTTTGTGCCAAAAGAGGAAGGTTATCACCTTGAGTGGTGGTTTCCGATCACACCGGTGGGCTTAGGGCCATCACTACGGCGAACCGACCAGCCACCCACTCCCTATGGATTTCTCACTTGCCCCCAGGTATAGAGGGAACTGTTGTGTGCAAAGGTCTGTATACAGTTTTTATTTCAAACAATTGCGTAAAATAAACAAACAATAGTTATTGAAGCTAAGCAATTAAAGCATGTTATAATACAAGGTAGTGTAAAAGCGAAATTTCTTAGTTTATTTATTAAACTGGCCCATCACTAAATGGGATCAACTCTCTAGGCTTCCCCAGTGGAATCGCCATCTGTCATCGCCGTCAAAAAGACGCGGTCGAAGCGACACGATGGTTCCAACTTTCTAATTTTCGTGTTTTTATGGGTGATGTTACAACGCTTTTAGGTTGTCCGATAACTGGGCTGAACCTAGAGGCGAGGTTTTCGAAAAAGTGTTCTTGGATTGTCCGATAACCGGGCTAACCTAAGAACTAATTTGAAGGGGTTCTTATGGAGTCGTCACCGATGTTTTTACTGGAAACATCGAAAAAGGGGTAAAAAGGCGTTGGTTTTCGAAAACCAACTTTGGTCATTAAAACCAGAGTTAGGTAAGTGTTGTCGCCGTCAAAAAGAGGCGGTCGGAACGACGTGATGGTTCCGACTTTCCAATTTTCGCGTTTTTATGGGTGATGTTACAACGCTTTTAGGTTGTCCGATAATCGGGCTGAACCTAGAGGCGAGGTTTTCGAAAAAGTGTTCTTGGATTGTCTGATAACCAGGCTAACCCAAGAACTAATTTGAAGGGGTTCTTATGGAGTCGCTACCGATGTTTTTACCGGGAACATCGAAAAAGGGGTAAAAAGGGGTAAAAAGGCGTTGGTTTTCGAAAACCAACTTTGGTCATTAAAACTAGAGTTAGGTAAGTGTTGCCACCGTCAAAAAGAGGCGGCCGAAGCGACGCGATGGTTCCAACTTTCCAATTTTTGCGTTTTTATGGGTGTGGTTACAACGCTTTTAGGTTGTCCGATAACCGGGCTGAACTTAGAGGCAAGGTTTTCGAAAAGGTGTTCTCGGATTGTCCGATAACCGGGCTAACCCAAGAACTAATTTGAAGGGGTTCTTATGGAGTCGCCACCGATGTTTTTACCGGAAACATCGAAAAAGGGGTAAAAAGGCGTTGGTTTTCGAAAACCAACTTTGGTCATTAAAACCAGAGTTAGGTAAGGGAGTTAGTTACGTGTAAGGGAAGTGTTAGTTCCCTTACGACGCCCCTTTCGGGTTCCCTATGATAGGCCAGCTATTTTATAAATAATCTTTTGAAAAGACGTTTTTACCCTTTTATTTACGGAATTAAAATAACGACTACATGGTCCTAATGTCTATTACGCAATTTAATCATAAAAATAAAGGCAGTAAAAGAGAGGGAAAGAATGAATAAACCTCTGAAGAAGGCTTTTGATTAATTTTCTTGAAAGTAGGGTGCGTTTTGGCAGCCCTTCGCTCTTACAACGCCAAAAACTCTCTCGAAACGCTATAAAAAGTTCTCTAAGACTCTCATAAACTCCGGAAATGCTTCGGAGGGACTCTAGGAAGAGAATTTGAAGAAATTGTAGAAGGGGAAGTGGAAGAATTGTGTGAAATGAGGGGGGGAGCGCTCACTATTTATAGGGATTCACGCCTGTCAGGTCGAGATGGTCGTCTCGACTAGCAAGGTCGAGACGGTCGTCTCGCCATTCGGGACGGCGGTCTCGACTTGTAAAAGTGGCGAGACGGCGGTATCGACTTTCCCAGAGACGAGAGGGCCTTCTCGCCAAACGGGGGGGGGGGGGTCTCGCCATTCGCAAGTGGCGAGACGGCCGTCTCGCCAAACGAGACGGCCGTCTCGACTTGCAGCAATGGTGAGATGGCAGTCTCGAAAAGCGAGATGGCGGTCTCGACCCCTGAAGGCGAAAATCCTTATTTTTGTACAAAAAATCCTTCCTATCCTAGTATGGGGCCTAATAGTCTCTCCTAGTGGCTTCTTAGGCTTCTTCCATCTTCGAATAGGAGGTTTTTTGCTCTTATTTTGAGGTCGGGCAAGATTTGGGGTCTACAATAACGATAAACCTGATTAAGGAATATAAAATACATTATATATATATATATATATATGGTATTAAATATATGAAAATTTCACTACCTAAGATAACTATCAAAATAATACCACAAATTTTGTTCTAAATAAATTCGTCATTCATTAATTAAATACTTTCTTACATATTGAAAATTCAATCTAAAAGTAAGTAGAATAAACTAAAATAAGAGTCATAATTCTGAATATGTCAGAAACTAACAAAAAAAATACAATATACAAAATAGAATCAGTTCACAATTCAGGAGGTTGAACATCCATCTTCTCCATCAAAAGGGGCAACATTTTATCATTTTTCTGAATTTGTTTCTCATTAGTTAACATTCTTTCACGGAGATCATCCCTTTCAGTCTCAACTTCCTTTAACTTGTGTTTTAATTGTTCAATCTCCTCTCTCATAAGTTGGACAGATGATGAAGTAGATTCGTGGCAAAGAATTCTCCTAATTGCGATGGGACATGTTTCCCTCTGATTTAATTGTCAACAATCTAACAGCAACAGATAATTCAGTGTGATTAGTACATCCTGGCCACAATGGTTTTTGTGAAGCATGTAATAAATCATAAAACTTCTTTGCTTCAATATTTGGAAACTGCTCATTTTCTTCATCAAAATGACTCACAAACTCTGCACCTAAAGCATCATGAATCATGTTGTCAAAGTCTTGTCTATGAACCTCGTGTGCATTATTAGATGAATTTGGATACATATTATTCACATTCACCATACAATAAGGAAAATAACTTAACAAGTTAAGAATTTCTCTTTTAGGACTATTTCAATTATTGCCACCTTTGACAAAATTTACTAATTGGAACACAGTTTTTGAGGTGAAGAAGATCCTTGAAATGTGAAAATGAAGGTCCTATGCTTTAGATGCTGTGAAACAAATAGAAGCCTATGCTTTAGATATGTATCTTGATCAGCTCATTCTTGACAAGTTAATAACAAAGTAGATATGCTTAGCATTTGTAAAATTTATAGTAATAATGTTTTAATTCAAAACTCCAAGTACAGAATAGGGAGATAGTAAATTTAGCTAAAAGCAGGTGATTTTAAAGTTTCATGACAAAAATAAATTGGGAAAAGGTAAATTTACAAGAAGTGTAAGCTAAATCAATAGTGCTCTTGGATGAATATCTGAACCGGGTTCAATTTTTTTTTTACATTTGGCAGCATAACTAACATGTATGGGCAGAGTGCAGTGGAGGGGTGTTTGCACCTTCTTAGCCTTATCTGTTCCCAGGTTCATAGCTCATAACAAGTAAAAAAAATACTGGTATTATCTCCTAACTTTATCAATTATCACAAAAGTTACATTATGCACCTCCATCTTGTTCATCAATTAAATAAAGTCCAAGTAAAAAAGACCAAAAGAAGTGGATTGTTAAGTATAATGTCACATTACTTTGGGATAATTATACAGGTTCAATAATTGAATCAGTTGCGTGATGCATGAATTACTCTTATTCTATCCACGTTCATATGTTTTTGTAAGAACGTTCATCATACTTTTAAATGGATTGAATATTCTGAATGTTAGGAACAATCCCAAAAGTTTAACATGAGAAAATTGACTATTCTGAATGATAATAAACGTAATCAAATTTATAATATGGTTCATTCAAAATAAAATTATGAGCAGTAACATCTAGACTTCTGATTGTGACAGAGCAAGAGCACTGAAGCAAGTAAAAAAGAAGGAATAACAATAATAATAATAATATGCTAGGTTATTAACTTTAAGGTACTCACCTTTTGGTCGTTTGGAAGGTGTATGATTATATCTCAAGCGTATTCTCCATATGAGAATCATGACAATTGCAGATAAAGTAACCAAAAAAGCAATTGCACCTAAGACTATTCCAGTCAGTGCACCTTTACTTATCCCTGAACTTGGAGAGATAACACTCACTGTGACAACATAAGAAGTATCAGAACAACCATAAAACAATTCAAAGATATGTCTTTCTATATATAGATGGCTATGGATCACACTATGAAGCAGCATATTCATCATTGACGAGTGGTAGAGCATTAACTTTCCAATATTAATTGGATTCGTTTAAATTCTTAACTTGACAGCAACAAATAATATAATCATGAACAAGCCATTACATCTCTATTATTCAATGCTTACTTATCATAGCACAGTAGTTTCGTTTAATTGTCATGGTATCTCAAAAAGACTAAACTGAGAAAATGAATAAAAGTTAAATTGAGAAGCAACCAAAAGATGGATACTTTTCTAGAATACCATGAGTAGATAAATGCTGACAAAATGACGTTTACCCCTGTTTCAGAGCAGTCACATCAAATACTAATAGAATTAAATCAAAATTTAGTTTCATAGTTTTAATCAAACTTTGAAAGATGAGACATGAACTATATTAGAGAATTCAATTAATAAGACTGAAACTTAAAATTGATATTATAATATTTAACCACCTAAAGAGAATTCAACCAATGTTATATTGTTTAGTGTCCAACTTCCGCTAAACACTATATGGAAGTTTTTGTGACTTACCATCTCTGTAGAGATCCAGGAGAATGAAGTCTACAATTTCATAAGGTCCAAGGAAGTCATTGCCTGGAAGATTAAAGTCTATGAACAAGTCTCTGATCCGAAGAACCTCACTTTTATTGAAAACATGAGAGTTTCTACTATCAACATATATAGGAAAAATATTCAAGTTCATTCCCAACCGAGGACCTTCTTCCCATTCAAATTTGTCGATATAGAGTTGGTTAATATTTATTTTAATAAATTTCACTTTCAAATTCACTTCTGCTTTCTGAACTGGATATCCATAAAATTAGAATATATTGCCAGTATATGTTTAGGGATTGGAAAAATTTACACTATTTATGTCCCTTCTTCTTCTTCGTCTTTATTTTTAAGTCTTCTTTTCACATTAATGAGGATCATTTATCATCCAAACTCCTTGTAATTATCTTTTGAGTTAATGAAAACAAAATTATCCAAAAAACTCACATGTGTGTGACCACATACATATACAATCTTGGACAAATATAAGTAGTCCAAGATTGTCCTATAACCTAGTACTATGGACATTTTAAAACAAAATATTGTCCTAAGCTTAGCTAAAAATGCTCTAGCTAGCAGTTCCTACCCATGTAAAACAAAATTCAGATTCAAAAAGCAGAATGACAAAAAGCAATTAGTACATAAACAAGTGATATGGAATGATATGGAAGAAGTCGTCAGAACACATAAACACAAATACACAATTAAATAAGCCATAATCAAAGCATTGAAACTTGAACCGCATGGCAATACACCTTAATGATTAAACATCGTATGTATTGAAATAATGAACAAGCACCACCCGATGAACCATACTTAAACGAAACACATGTTGAAAGCAGAGTACCTATTGCTTGATAGTAGCCTCGACAACTTCAAGTTCGTCAGGGTTAGGGTTCTAGTACGAAGTTTCGTGGGTTTTGGTTGGGACTGAGGTCGTCGGGGTTAGGTTCAAGCTCACAGAGCCTTAGGGTTTCAGGTCGCTTCGATTCAAGGTCGTCGAGATTTGGGGTTAGGGTTGGTGTTCGATGTCGCTATTGGGTTTCAGGTTGTCGTGTTGGATGTACTGAAGGCTGGAGGATTGGGGATGGAGAGATGAAGGCGATCAGTGGAGCGCGGGATGAAATGGGGCAGATTAGTGGAGCGGGATGAAATTGGGGCAAATCAGTGGACAGCGAGATGAAATTGGGGCAAATCAGTGGAGCGAGATGAAATTGGGGCAGATTAGTGGAGTGCAGGATGAAATTAGGGCAGATCAGTGGAGCACCGGATGAAATTAGGGCAGATAAGTGGAGCGGGATGAAATTGGGGCAGATAAGTGGAGCGGGATGAAATTGGGGCAAATTAGTGGAGTGCGAAATGAAAATTTGTTAGGGTATGTTACAGTGAGTGAAATAATTAAATAATTAAATTAATTAAAAAAATTAAATTAAATAAAAGAGTGACTGAAATAGTAACTGATTTTTTGTAACCGAAAATTCAGTTACTATTTCAGTTACTAAACTAAAAAATAATAATTTGGTTACTGATTCAGTCACTGATAGTAACTAAATTTTTCAGTCACTGATTTCGGTTACTATTTGGCATTTTTCTAGTAGTGAATCATACCCCAAACATCAAGAATAAATCATTCCAAAGCATAAACGATAAGAATAACAACATCAAAACATAGATTAATATCTCAAAATATCACCATGATATAAAAGAGTTTAAAGGAAGTGCACCCAATCCCAAGAGAATGAAGTTAGTCACTCATGTTGGCCATTACACTGCTCCAAATGTGGAAGAAGTGAAGAATTGATGAAGATTGGACAAAACCCTAGTAGTAGTCACGCCTCTTCTTCCCCAAAACTGCTTCCTTTCTCAAAATACATCTTATCTTTTTATAAGAGAATTTGGGTTGGGTCTTGCATCATTCATTTGCTTAAGCGTTCTTCTTTCTTTCACTTTTTCTTCAATTATTTCACAATTATGTTCATTACTCTTGTATCAAGGTATTCTCGAATTCATCCTATATTAGGAGAAAAATATATTAGAATTAACATAAGTTAAGTGGTTTCATAACAATTCAAGGCATAATTATATCAACTTTTTACCACTTAACAGTCATCCGGAATAGCAGACGTCTAACTGAAATGCACTTTAGGGATGATGACGTAGCAAGAGTCCTATGCTTACCTGGGAGGACCTTTGAGGCAAACCATGTTGGGAAGGCCTTAAGAATATTAAGGGCCAACATGACCACCTTAACTCAAATTTGGACTTCATTCCTGCTGGCCAACATAGTACCCATCAAGCACAATTCAGATCTGAATATGCGTAGGTGTCATATTATCAAGAGCATTCTGGATGAGACTATGATTAACGTCGCCGCAATTATATCAGAGGAGATCTATTAGTTTGTGGTATTGGAAAGCGGACGACGAGCAGAGCAAGCTAAGGCTCTTGGATTTCCTGCTCTCATAACAGCTCTTTGTATAGCCCATGGTGTGGAAGTAAACCCATCAGTGAACATTCGGCCGCCCATTAATAGAATATTTATTGAGCAAAACTATGTGAACCCTACAGAAGGGGAGCCACAGCCACTGGCACAGGAACCACACCAGCCAAGAAGAGCCCAACAGCCACCTCCACCACCTCAACAGCCAGACTTTCAAAGAATGATACAATACATGGAACATTTAACATTATAACAATCAGCTACCCATAGGGGTCAATGCAGCATTAATGAAAATTTTTATAACTTGTCTTTGCAAATTGCTCCAGGTATGCAGTGGACGTCACCACAAGAATCCGATGCCTTACTTCAATGGCCTGGGGACAGTCCCTATTTTCCAGGAGAGGGTGAAGGTGTAGCTGGTGCACAGGAACACAAGAAGAAGAGAAGGAATCACAAGAAGAAGATGAAGAAGAAGAAGCAAGTGAAGAAGAAGATTAAGAGGGAGAAAAATTTATTTTAAGTGATTTTTGTTATTTTGGTGTGTTTAAGTGAATTGGTTAATTTGATGTTTTAAGTTTTTTGTTTTAATTTATTTTAAGTTTTTTTATTTGTTTTGAGTTGTTTTGTTTTGAATATTATGAATTGACTTAATGTGATGAATGTTTAAATTGATGTGATTAAATTGTTGTCCCATACAATTTGGATTAGAGCCAATTATGAAATTATTGTTTATTGTCCAATTTAAATCTGAAACTTGAAGAAAACCATTTTGATTGTTTCCAATAACAAGTGATTTTGGGATATTGAGTATGATAGTGAAAAATGAATTGACGGGGAGAAGTAGGAATTAACTGAATCAGAGAAGTTAGCCAAAAACCCAAGCGAGAAGTGAACCAAAAACAGATAAATTGAGTGTCAACACCTTGTGATGATAATTGATATTGATTGATTCTTTGATGTGATTACGTGTTAGTGAGACTTGAAAATGATAAAGGCATTTTTTTCTTTGTAGTAGATATAACCCATAACCAAATAGTCAATCCTGCATTAATTATAGGACATCTATTTGAATCCCTTCTGAGCCAAAAATAATACTATTTCTTAAACAGAACCCCTGAGCCTAAAAACTATTTATCTATCTTCCTATATTTGAAAAAGGAAATGAGCATGATTGTTATTATTTTTCCTATTGTTGGGTATTGCTATTATTTTCCTACGGGTATTATTGGATTGTTATTCTTAAAAAAAAAAAGCATAAATATTGTGGCAAAGCCAGAAAGGATAAATGCAAAAGCATGAGAAAAGAAAAGAAAAAGAAATCAAAGGGGGGGGGGGAATAATAACTTGTGAGATTATTAACTCACTATCATTATGTTAGGGACAAAATCATTAAGTTTGAAACCTGACTTGGGGAAATATTAAACAGGAATCATTCATATGAGTTGAATTTTTCAAATACTTTTATATACCTCAGAAAAACCAAGGATTCTTTTTCAGCCCAACCCCATTACAAGCCTCAAAAGACCTTTTGATTTAAGTCTTGTTTATCAAATGTTGATTGCTTGAAGATGACTATCAATACTGGATTGTCTAAATAAAGTGATTGAATGAGATAGACACTTACCTGTGAGATGTGAGAGATCATGCTTCTCTGAGGATAGTTGATGATTTATTTTCCTGTATTAATTTCTATAACTTGAATGCTTATGTATTCTATTTTCATTTGGAGTTGTGAGCATCACATCTGAAAATTTTTTATGTTGTGGTTCTGGAAGAGAAAGTGATAATAGGTGATGGTTTTGTTTTGCAAAAATTACTTTGCTTGGGACAAGCAAGATTCTAGGTTAGGGGGAGTTGTTAAGTGGTAAAAAACTGATATAATTATGCCTTGAATTGTTATGAAACCACTTAACTTATGTTAATTATAATCTATTTTTCTCCCAATATAGGATGAATTTGATAATACCTTGATAAAAGAGTAAGGAGCATAATTATCAGCATAATTGGAGTAAAATTGGAAGAAGGAAAAAGATTTTCAGCATGGAAGTCGCTCGAGCGAGATGGACTCTCGCTTGAGTGAATATTAGTTATTCTTCTCTGGAAGTTAGTCGCTCAAGCGCTGTAGACCCCTAATTTTGCCCGACCTCTCAAATAAAAGCTAGGGAAACTTCATACAGTTCACCCGACTTCATATCAAAGAAAAACCAAGAAGGACCTCCCACAACAGAAGACGGAGTTCACTCATTCACACGGTAAAAGCCAAAAGAGACTTCCTACACAAAGACAAAGCTCGACCGGCATCTTAATGAAGGCCAAGAAGACTTCCTATATGAAGATAAAGCTTCAACGGACACACATCGACATCAATCTATGTCCGAAAAAGGAAAGGAAAGCTTCCCGGGGTCCCAGAACACGAAAACTGGACAAAACAGGCCGGGACCACGGTCCCAAAAGTGGGACGGCCGTCCCAACCGCAATTAGCGGCTGGGACGCGCGTCCGAATGTGGGACGGCCGTCCCAAACCCGGTTTAAGTGGGACGGCCGTCCCGGCCTTCCTGGGGTCCCGTTCGTGTAAATTTGCCATTTGGGACGGCCATCCCAGTCCGGACGGCCGTCCCAACCCGGACGGCCGTCCCAAAGTGCGCCAGCTGCGAAAAACTATAAATAGGAGGCTCATTTGCCACTTTTTCACACCACAGTACACTCCAGAGAGCTCGAAACACTTTAGAGCACTTG